TATGTAAGTTATCTACAACCAAATCTATTACACTCGTGGTTTTGAAATTTGGTACATAGCCTATAATCTATACTCAAGAATATGAAATTTTTTTAGTACCTAATTAAAATATTACAGCAGGAATACACATTAATATTATTGTTTTAGATTATTGCATACATTTAACACCTAGATGATGACTATATTATGTGAAATAACTATAACAATTTAACTTATAATTGTATGTATAGCTAGGTTATATATTATCACTATGCAGGACGCCGCATCACATTTATAATTCTATTTTAAAAGCGATCATAATATGACTACTTTTAATGGAACTTTTTAAATAATCTCAAAGATTTTTTAGGAAAATCCCTAAAGTAGCTTAAATTTAAAAATAAATTTTAGTATTAGATAATATAATATAGTAAATAACTGTTTTCGCGTTAGCGTCACTATTGGGTTTTTGTGTAATTTAGAATTTTGAATGATAAGTTTTGTATGTATCTATTACTGCACTATCATTGTATAGGTAGGTTAGGTTACCATGGCTACATACTAATCATATAAACTAGGTATACTCACAATGATTCAAAGTTTTATATGAGATAAATTCTTGATTGTGGTGTAGAGTTATTATTATTTTGATAACTTAATTCAATGATTAAATGTATATAAATTAAATAATAACTATACTTAAAAAACTACAAGTGTTTACAGTTAAATTCTAAAAAATTATTTGCGATAATATGGTAGGTCTATTATTCGATCATTTCATTATATAATGTACTGTGTTGGTTCGAACACGTTTACAGATCTATTATACAAATTTGTGCGCGTGGCACGCATACACGAATACGAATGATATATTTTTTATTTATCAGCAATGACAGTGAATTAGTTGTGTTTATGTAGACAGACTAACAATATTTAATCGCATGAGTATTACCTATAATTATAGATTGGTATGTAACGGCTAAATATTATTACAATTATTTTTATTTAAATGTCAACTATTAAATAATATGTTTCCATCTGAGTCAAGAAATACCTTTATCGGTAATTTCAACGACCGTGACAATTCCTCTCTCCCCTTCCCTCTCTAGTATCGCAAAACAATACATTCGAAAAACGGTGACAACTAAATATTATAATATATTATTGTCACAAATCATTTTAATAATTCAATTGATCATAACAATAACACGAAAATAATAATAATAATAATAATAATAATAATAATAAATTATAATTATACATGATTGGTGCATCTGCCTATATTGCTGGCCATGGTCGCCTTCGAAGTAGATCTCGGGTCGAGGTAAAGGTCGGCGGTAGTCACCGCGCCTATTGACAATGCCTCCACTAGTGTTATTATACTTTAGCCGTCATCACATAAACTTTTGAGCGTTTATACTTAGTACTGGTGGTGTAGCTGTTGACCAGGGTTACTGTAAAAAAAAACTGCAATTTCTATAATTTTATTATTGTCCTAAACAATTATTAGCATAACCGCTTTTGTTTAACTTAGGATTCGATTTGAAGCAGTATGATAGTGAAATCGCAAGTGAAGTTACTCGTTGTACCCGCAAGTTTCGAGACATTATAACTGATTGCTATTTTAAAATAAATTTTTATTAATATGATCATAGTATATTCGAAAAAATTGTCGCATAGTTTTGATCGACATTGTAATGTGTTAGTACTTTATTAGCTTACATATTTAATAATACAATTTTAACGTACAATGCATGTAATAACTGTTTGTCCTTATTTTTCTTTATATTTATTCGAAAATAAGATTAATAGTGTAATGCATTAACAGTTATTATTATTTTTTTTTTTCAATAACCGGTTGAGCCTTCGAGATTATGCTTGCAAAATGTTTACAAAATATTAAGATAAATAAAAAAAAATAAGTATTTAATAACTTAGTACAAAAATTTACAAGTGGTTCAATTTTATAATATAATACCAGTATATTGTATACTATATTACTTTAAATATATACCTACTACCTACTTATAATTGTCATGTTATCATGAAATATGTTCAAAAACATGTTTTTTAATGTAAATCATGACATTTTTTTTTCTAGAAAGAAAATAACTATATCTGTGTTTTTAGGAAATAAAAACTATTCGTTTTCAATTGCAAATAAAATCAAATGCACATATAAGTAATCCTTTGATAAAATAGAGATTAAGTTTTCATATTTTAGATTTATAAAAAAACAATGTTGTGTGTTATTCTACATACAATCTTTGACCAACAACTATTGAAATACGGTAAATAATTTCGTCAGACTTACGTAGCTCTTCGCATTTCGCGAAATTCATTTTTATAATACATACTTGTATTATGTTTAAATTTAAAAAGAATTAATCTAATGGCACGGAAGAACCAATTCGACTCGTAACGGACACATCAAAATATTATTAAGAATATTATATAGTTTAGGAATTCGAAATTTTTAAGGTAAGTCAATAAGTGTATTAATATTTAAAATAAAATATTTAATAAACCTTGAGACCTGTTGATTAATATTTTTTCTTTGTATAAAACTTTAATAATTAGGTAAGAGAATAATACTGCTGCACTCTAATGTGTTGTCTTCGTTTTTCAAATAATATACTACATAGCAAATTTGCTTTCCAATTTTGTATTTTTACCTAGCTTAATATTGAGTTGAATAATCAAACTAAAAATACAAGAACATTATCTGTGTTCATCATAAATCAGATTTTTACGATATTTTAACTATCAAGAAAGTTAAGAGTATGTAATATTAAAATGTTAAAATAATCGTAACTCGTTTAAGAATTAAAATATCATGAAAAACTAAAAAAACTAAATGAATAAATTCACTATATTATTAAAGTTAATTGTTCAAAATCCATTTTGCTAAACGCATATTTATAATATTATATGTTTTTAGAAGGCGGAAATAACACGTTTTATCAAAATAATTTATTTAAATGTACATTTTTTTTTTGATGATTGATTGAATATAATTATATAATAAATGTATAATAACATTTAAAACCTATATGTACTGAACCTTAAGAATATTATCCTTTATATTTTTTTTATAATAATGATTTAATTTTAAAATTACTCAAAAATCATGTACCTAATCGTTTTTACATGAATGTACGAAAACCTGAGCGATAAAACAAATATTGAAATGAAATTCTCTTTATTTATATTTGTTTTATAAAATAATTTATAATTGTTACATATAATATTTATAAGACATTATTAGTAACGTATTCCGATGTGCTATAGTGTGGGTGTATCCGTGTTATTTTTGACAATACTTTTTGGTTGGAATTACACTTAGATGCCGTAGGTATATTACGAAATATATAATTTAAAAAAATGTTATCAAATCATTAATAAAAATATTTTTTTTTCAAGAAATTAAATACATTTTAAAATAAATTATTGATATTTGATATTTTAATATTTATTATTTATTATTATTATTATTATAGTTACCACAATATATTTACAAAGTATTTAAGAAATAATAATAATTACCTAGACCTTTTAGGCTTTAGCTAAGCTTGTGGTGGTGTAGGGAGTAACAGTAGGTACACACATATAATATGATTTAATTAGATTAAATATAACAAATAATAACAAACCGATTAAGTTGTCAAACACTCGAACTGGTTGTTTTTCGTAAAAATCTAAAAATTGACATTTAATGCACAGTATACGGATTTTGATAACGCAAATATTATTACCGGGAAGTGAACGATTTACAAAATATGTTGTGTAGATAGGTGTATATGCACTCGACAGTCATTACCGCTGCCGTCTCGAGCCGCCGTCTTCTATAGCGATACTTAAGCATTGTAAAAAAAACACGATTTACGTGTTAGATCTAATAAATTATAATCTATATTATTAATACAATGACGAATAATTGTAGTCATAATGTAATTTCAATCATCTGCAGATTACGTGATAGGATGCCGTAAGGGGATTTTTGGGGCTTAAATTAAAAAATGACGCAGCCATTATCACCGATTATTCGGTATCGGTGTGTGACGTTTATGACTTTCAGCTTATAGTATACTAAGTATGAATCGACTATCATCAGAGAGAGATCCGCGTCGGTTTCCGCCGATCGCCGTTTTAGAATATGTAAATATAATAACATAGAATAAGACGTATAATAAGCTAGGTATGATAAGCCGAAGTAATCAAAAAATCGATCGTGGGGATGATTTCAAAATTAATTTCCCTTTATTTGAACTTATTATACACTTAGTACACGTGTACAGGTACATAAATATTTCGGATTAATATGTTTGTTTGAAATAACATTTTATCATAGGTATGAAAGTTGTAAAATCCTATAACCGAGTAACCGAGCTTTTCATTTTCTGATGTTCGTTTAAAACAGCATCATCGTTTAGCAGTCTGACTCGCTATTTCCAATATTAAATTATAATCAACTGGTCAAAGAAATGCAACGTCAACAGTTTTATATAATTTTATTTTGAAATTATTTAGAATGTTTGAAACATTCATTTTTATATAATTTTACATGATTTATTTTATTATTTTATAAAAGCACGTTTATTGTTTTAATATTAGTTGCTAGACTTAAAAATAAAAATGAATAATTCTTTTACACCAGTCGATCCTCAAATATTTACATTAGATCATCTCTGTCGAAAAAAATTTGGTCAACCCTGATTAGAGCGCGTCGTGATGCGTGTTTTATATATATCATTGCAGCATTGCAATAAATCATATTAATTGTTACTATGGGATTATTATTTATCGCATACTCAGTGGTTAATGGGTGACAGCGTTCGATATTATATTATTGTTATCATTAATCTCTAAGATAAAACGATTAACCGGTAAGTCTCTCAAACATTACGAACGATTCACCGGTTTTTTTCTAATCTCCCCGCTCTTAACTCCATCGACAACGCCGCTGTAAATCCTTTCACTGTGATAAAAAAAACAAACAAACGAACGAACAAATAAAAAAAAATTGCTCATCACACTACTAGTGTATCTATTTGTAATAAAACCTCCGGTGTAATAAACCTGTCTGTCGGGATTTTCGGCAATAACTGTCTATGATCAGCGATTAAACACGCACTGTCCCGATCGCGACGACTGTTCTAACATCGCACTCGATTCTCCGCGGTTTCTTCCCGACTAAATTATTATTTATTTTCGTCGAAATAATATTTTTTATCAATGGACAATGGTGTCGTTTTCTTGTGGCGTCCATACGGTGTGTATATATAATATCATGTATAGAACACATTGTTAGTACCTGCCGGTAACCTTAATTGTACCAACGGAGTAGTAACGACATAATATATAGGTACAACAAACGTTGTCGCGACGTTTTCGAGACATTTCCTTCGTTGATAGCGAGTATTACGCAGGTTACCTACAGTCGACACGACGGGCGTGCATTTCATCACGCCGTCAACTTAACTGCCTACGGTAGTATATTATTATTGTTATTATTGTTGTTATTATTATAATTATTGTGAACAGCGACGACACCAGTTCCCGAAAGCTCACCCAAAGGTTCGTGACCTGAGTCTTGTCGACTTGGCAGGAGCTATCGGCGGACATACGTACACTGCAGATCGCGACGACGTTAAACCGTTGCGCCATGGTGGAGGTACAGTCACAGGCCACGAGCCCCAAACCCGTGATCAACAAGAGGTGCACAGAAGTGCCGATGGCCGTCGGGTCGCCGACGGCATCGGAGATGAGGCGTCGCCGGCGCCGACGTTCACGTCTCATGTCTACCACCTCATCGGTGGTGTCGGCCGCAGCCGCCGGCATCCCAGCTTCTGAAAAGCACAAGATATCGTGAGTACATTATAATTATTAATATGCGATCATCATTGTGTGCGTGCGTATTAAAGACACTAATACATTTATGATTTTAAAATACTCACGACTTGCTACAAAATTAAAATATCAAAAAAAAAAAAAACAAAAAAACGATGCGGGGTTCTATGATTTTTCATTTGAATTTTATATTAAGTCAATTCTCTATAGATATTAAAAATTGCGGAGTAAAACGGATTTTTCTGAACTAAAAATTTGACGAGTTATACGTCGGTAAAGCGAAGACGATGTGGGTATAACGGCCTTTTTAGAACATTTGCGTATCTGCGGGCGACCGGGAACAGCACTCCGCGCACATTGAAAGGAAAACGATGCCAAGTAGAGATTTTGCTCCAAAGACTACGATATAAAGCATCTCCACATCGGTTTCTGTTCAGTGTCGCGTGGAAATAAAAAATGAAAATGAAAATGTGATGATGTCGAATATTTATGGTAAGGAAATTTAATCTTGTTACGTTTTTTTTTCTTATTTCGGTAATCGGCGGACGCACCAAAATCGCCGCACAGCAACAACGAAGCATTGATGCATATGGTAAAGGCTACTATCGGTGGTGGGTTTCTAGCCATGCCCGATGCCTTTCACAACATTGGCATAGTGATGGGCGTCGTAGGCACCGCAGTACTAGGCCTTTCCGTGTTGAACATGATGTCGTGCATAGTAAGTATACATGCGAAACGTTCCGATCAACATAAATCAGAAATCAGAATGAATATTAAAGCTCGATTTTACGCTTAAAAAGCCTTTGTCCTCCTGTATATTAGAAAAAAAACACGCAAATAGAGTTCCAATAGCACATCCAATTGCGAGTATAACACGAGTATAACATTTGTTACATTCTATATATAAGTATTAAACACACTATTTAATTGACCACCATAAATATATATGCGAAGTTGATACTTTTTGACTCTGTCAGTTTTAATATTAATAATTATTTTCAATGTATAAACTTTTTTTTTTTTTTTTGATATAAAACTTTTTCCATAAATTTTTAATCCCTTGCTACGAAAATTTTTTATTAATTTATAAACTACCTTATAGAATTTTAAATATGAAATTAGAGAAGTAATAAAATATAGTTATGATTTAAAATTTAATTTTCAAAAATCTGAAATAGATAACTTTGTTTTATTTTCAAATTAATCATTTTTAAAAACGTACAGTAAATCATTTTTTTAATCATATTGATTAAACTCTCAAAAGTCTAAAACACATACAATTTAATTTAAGGGATTTATAATTGCGATTTCGCTGTGAATTATAAATGTGATGATATGTTTTATATAAATACAATTTAAATATTCTAAAATAAATATGTACAATCTATTACATGGATATTTGTTATTTGGTTGTCTAAATGATTTTCCCTTAATAAGCGCCGGAACACGAACACTTAAAAAGACGATAAACATAACATACTATTTATATGTACGGTATATTATAATGAAATAATCAAGGTATACGTTTTATAGAGAAAACATGGTATATAGCTAGCTCAACATTGAAAAATTTGACTTACAGGTTACCTATTAATTGTCAAGTGGACCAGATTCCAGAAGTTATGAATATAATATTTGGCAAATTTTTTTATTTAAAACGTAATAAAATTTTCAATTTTTATAGCTAAGGCTTGAAATTTACTACAAGGTCAATCGATTATAGTATTAATTTAAACAACAAAAAATTAAAAATATTATAATACATTAAATATTTTTAAAAATACTTAGGAACGTTTTTTTTTTTTTTATAGGTATTTGAAATTGTAATTTTGACGAAATTGGAATACTTCAACGAAGAATTACGATTTTATATATTTAGTTTTTATTTAAAAATATTATTCGAAACGTTTACACATATACGCATATTTTTGTATTCTATTATAAACATTGACATTTTCAACATACTTTCAATCGAAGCAAATTATTAACTCATTAACTCGGTATTTCGATTAATAATTATCTATTAATGTATATAGACTATAGTTAATGGTCAAATCGTAAAATTAAATTAAAAAATAACTTTTAAGAAATTTAATTTAAATTTAATGTTTAAACATTAGTCTAGAATGTGAAGTCAAAACTACCTCACCCAAATAAATACTTCGTCAATGAGTAACGCACTATAATGGATGTGTTAAATGTGAATTCAATAATAGAGCATTCTATACGAAAAATGAGCTAAGACGGTCGTCAATATATATTTCTAAAGATATTTTTAAATACGTTTATCCATTAATATTTCTATTTAAAACACAATTTGTTAAAATTATTTTTGCCAAAAAAAAAATAAAAAAATAATAATAATAATAATAATAATCACTTGTTAGTTATATAATAGTAATTATTATATTACCACCTAGGTACCTAGATATTATTAACCTATTGATCAATACCGTCCTACCGTCGTAAAGCAAAAGAGTGTGAATAGGTCTCTGTCCTAAATATTTAAAAAACTGTCATTGTCTTCAATTAATATACGTAGTGGTGAAATATTTTAGTCATCTTTACGAACTTTATTTTATAAATAATAACTTAATGAATAACATTGTTAGTTTTTGTTTAAATATCCAACTTCTAATCATTTTAGAGATCAGATGTTTTATATATATTTATATAGCATAATATAGTAAGTTCTCCGGATTTATTTTTAATAAGTCATACATAGTATTATTTGTTTATTTGTTTATCTTCCACACCAATACAACTTAATTAACAACTATATGAAATTATTTTGTCGTTTCGACATTTTAAAAACGATAATATTTTGTGAATAAATTACAATCATAGTTTTGATTTTAGTTAATTTAAATATTTAGAAAAATATTTGATACTAATAAAAATGTATCTTAAATTATACGTGTGTTTTTGGTTTAGGTTCGGTGCTCGCAGACATTGCGGTCCGGTAAGTACGTGGACATCATCTTGGCTGAACAGAATAGTAATAACGCCGGGGCCAAAAGAGAAAATGATGATAATGACGACAGAAAAATTCCACCAACCCTGCGGTATAACAACGAGTTACTACTGCCTCCAATGGACTATCCTGATACCGTAGCCGCTGTATTAAAATATCGCGCTCGTGGCCGATTCGCTTGGCTCGCGTCATTTGCCAGGTATGTCCGATAACCAATAACCTGTCATCATCTAGACCATTATCAAATATTATTATTATAATGTATAGTGGTGAATTAGATTAGAGTTTTTACAAAGCTTATTAGTTCGATACCATGGGACTCGTACTGCTTTCGTCTTCATGTATCTACTTTTTGTGACAATGCAATAAAATAAACTCGTGTGATACTGTAGCTACCTAGTGAATAGTTTTTTTTTTTTTTATTTAATTAATATTATAATTTTATTAGTACACTTGTATTATATTAATGGTCAAATATTTGTTTTTGTGTTTCGCCGCTACCGAAACGATGACATTTTTGAAAACAGAAAATTTACTAGCATCTCGCTCGTGGCCACTTATTATGGAGTGAATATCATCTACGTATGCATCCTGTCCAGTACGTGTAAGCAGGTAAATACCATGACCTTATTACAGTTATCGGGTATAAACAGTGTGTTAATTAATAGAAAAATTATGAACCTGAATTCAAGGAAAAGTGCGAATATTTTAGTGTCTATTTTTTAAAGTAATGTATTATTATAATAGCCACTATTTTATCATGATTTGTAAACAATATTAAAATTATAAAAAAAAAAAAAAAAAAAATTATGACATTTATCAATTATCAGCAATTTAACCAGAATAAAATTAAATAATATTAATATTATTGTTTTATTATTTAGAGAAACTATAATTTAAACATGACATTTTTAAATGTTTCTCGGATAACTAATACTAGTTTGATTAGACAGTATGTAATTTGAATGTAGTTGAAACTAACACAAGTTATAACTTAGGGTATAATAGAAGTTGATAGTGGCTATTTAAAAAAAAATCTTAGATACAATATAGTATATCAACAATGATGCTATTTAGTGTGAGGAGGTAAAGTCGATATGATACGATAAATTCAATTATAGTGTTATTAAAGTACCTATGTAAATGGGTATAGTTTTGATATTTATTGAAATCTTACTAACTTTCTAATAAAAAAATTTGAAAGATTAAATTGTTAAAATTAAGTTTTGCTTTGGTTCGTTCAAGACTAGCCATTTTTTTTAAAAAATATTTATAATAAGTACCTAACTGTATAAAATGAATATTTTCAAATTTTCAAAAGTCAAAAAAAAAAAAATTTTATCCGATTTTTGAAATAGTTTTTAAAACTTTTTATTAAAATCGAGGTCGTTGGTTAAATTAAAAAAATCCCGTAATAAAATATTCATTAAAATAATTATTCAGGATTACAGAGCTGTCATTGGGTTACTTAATTTTCAATTAATTAACATACTTCATTTACATTTAATATAATTACGTGAAATACAACATTATTGTCTTAACTCGACTTGCGTCGTGACACTCTATGCTCGGTATCGTTTCAGCTCATCGACCAATACACTGCTAACGCAGCTGTGGACTCTTGGAGCTATTTGGTGCACGGATTGTCTATCCGTTGGTACCCTATATTAACCGCAGTGCTAATCGTCCCAGTGGGTATGGTCCGTTTGATCAAATATCTGGTCCCATTCTCGGTGGCCGCCAACGTGTGCATACTTGCCGGTACCGTGGCCGTGTTCTACTTCATTTTCTTCGGTGACAACAGACCACTGGCCCCAGAGGAACAAGCCAAGCTAATAGTTTGGCCGGCCACTCGGTGGTCGTTGTTCGCCGGCAGTGCTTTGTGCTCGTTGGAAGGCGTTGGAATGGTAATTAGTCATAGCTTTATCGCATATACGTATTTAGAGATGTGGGTTTGTATTATACAGTGGTATAAAACTGTATTGTACAGGGTATTGAACGCACGGTATAAAATTATTTTATACGGGCTGTATAAAATAAAATTAAGGCTTTATTATTAGTTATTACTTAGTGTCGTAAATAATATTTTTATTATTTACTATTATAACTCATAATTTTGTAACATGTTTATTTAGCATTCACGTGTTAGGTATGGCATAAATAAATTGAACTATTTTAATATTGTAGAAATAGGTATAAGGTGGGTATAATGAGACAGTATATAAGTATATTAATTAAAATTTTCGATTTATTTCTATTTACAAATTTAAAACATAAAAAACTAATATCCCAATAACATTAATTATTTATTAAAACAAATTCTTTTTACTACGTTTCTGATATTAAATATGAGTACTTGGTACTTACAAGAAGTAAACAACGAGGAACTAAATATTTAGTAGATATATTTACATGTTAATTGGAATTATAGATGCGTCCCTTATTGTTGTGAGTTAAATTTTGAATGAATTAAAATTTAAAAAAAATATAGGTTCTTCCGTTTTTATCTTTACGCACTAAATAGAGTGGCGTTCTTTTTATCCTATATAAGTATAGACTATTTGATTGGCTATTTTTCTACGATGGTGTGAATTGCTTATGTTGAATAATTTACCTCATAGCACTATTCATAATATCCTGTAAATATTATTTTATTTGTGTTTGCTAATTTTTCAAAACTATATCTATTTTCTGTGAATTGTATTATCGTCATGTACTACCAGTCCATACTTTTAATAAATAAAATAACTATCTATTATGTTACATTAAATATGCTTGGTTGGGCATTATGACTAGTTAAAACTTAAATTTAAGTAAAGTTTAAGAACTTATACTCGTATTACTTAAATTTTTTAACTCGACCATTTACTTTTTGGTTTCTGTAAATTTAACTGTCTACTTAATTTCATTAATTTTTTAACCAACGTGAAATCAATTAACTAAATTTTTATTTAATGATTAATAATTTTAATATTTTTTAAAATAAGTTAATTAATATTATATAAATAATGAGTTATAAGATTTTTTTCAGTGCTCTTTGTGTCTCATATAATATTTTGATGAAAAAACACAGTTAATCATTTTTAATGTGATATCATCAGTTTTTTACCGAGTTCGTAATAAGTTATACACTGAATAAAGAAAATTATAACAGTATAAAGTACTATGATATGTTATAACTATATATAAATATGTATAATATACATATTAACCCCCCCCCCCCTCGACAGTGAACATTTTTGTGGATGACCTTGATTATATATAATTTTTAAGTCAATAAAAAAAAATAAGTAGGCTAGCGTGTATAAACTTATGAGAATTTAAAAAAAGGTGTCTTATGTGCTTTAAATTTTTTTCTATTGATATATATTGACTTTTTTTATTAACCGAGTTAAAAAAAAAAAAAAAACAACTATTAACTTGCCCACCTAGATATTAATATTGATTCGGGTTGTGCGTCTAATGAGCCTATAATAAAATGACGTAACCTGTTGTGTCTCGTTGCATGTGCATCGTCCGATCCTAACAAACAAAATAAAAGCTGCTGCATATCGAGAATGCGATGAGCAGGCCATTGGAACTTGCCGGACCGCCCTCGTACACACTGCATCGGTCCATGGTGGTCATAGTCATGATGAACAGCGCGCTAGGGTTATTTGGTTACATGCGGTACGGTGACAGGTGTGAAGGCAGCATATCGCTCAACTTACCACAGAATAACCGGTTAGTACTTGTATGCATTTTACTGTTTTAGGCGCATAATATATGACGACGTGTCGTATGCGGTATACTATTCAAGTGAAATAAAAAAATAAATTAAAACAGTAGACCTAAGACATAAATACAAAAAAAAAAAAAAATAATAATATTATGGTCCGATAAAAAATGCATTTCTCCACGGCTTCTTTGAAAAATAATAACATTCCAAAACTATACACGAACACCAAACCGTTCCCCGTGCGGTTACCAACGTGTTTCAAGAATGTTATAATACCATCGTATAATATTCCCCAGATATAGACTACCTGTTGCCTTCAGTTCAAGGAAATAGGGTATCTACGCAGTTAGAATCGGTTAGGTAGATTATACAGAATGATTACTTATTTGGCTTATTCTCAATCAATATTTGTATATTACTTTTTTTAAATTAAAAATCATTAAGCTAAATGCTAATTAGTATAGAAAAAATTAATTTTTTAAACTGTTTCTTCAAATATTGATCATATTTATTAATTGTTCTATTTCGAATGTTTATACTTAAATTGTTAATTTTAGAAAAGTATGAATATAATAATGCATTTTAAAACCTTGCTATTATGTGTTTTGTTTATTATATGAAATTATATTGATCAGGTGAGGGCTACCATCTAGTTTTTTGCAAAAATTTGGTGTGATGTCATGGTATATAATATATATGTGATAAACTTAATATTAAATATATTATTGAGATTTATACAATTAATGTAGATAAATACATCAAAAACACTCTAAACGACAATAAATATGAGATTTAAGGTTTCATAACACACGAATTGTAAAAATTACATTGGTTAAACAACATGTAATGTAGTATTCGTTGCAACTCTATAACGGTTTAAATGCTCAAGGTTCGATTATACATTTCAACTCAAACGGTAGTCGATAGGTGTTAGAATAGGTTCCCCCAAAGTTAGGTAGGCAGGTTTCGCCTAATAGACTTTTCTAACTGCGGTATTCTAAAGTCCTGATTTCGACCTAGGGTATTAACTTTTCTAACTACGGTTTTTTTCAAGTTGAGTTAATCGATAACAAAAATTGCACTTAGTATTAAAATAATTGTTAACCACTTGAAAGTAATTTAATATAAGTACTTGCATAATGAATGTATATGTAATTTATTTACATAATTATAATATATTGGGTAAATTTTGAAACAAGCCACTAATAAGTTATTCAAAGTTAAATTGTCATTAGAAGTCTAACCAAACGCAATAAATACTAAGTAGGTAATAAATAATAAATAACATTGTAATAGTGTAACGATTGGAAAATAAAAAAACTATAAAAATGTATAATAGTTTATATTCCCCTCATAAAAGGTACCTTTATGATAATGTAAATTGAAACAGTCGCAATCCATGATAATCGTATTAATTACTAATAAATATTAAGTACTATGGATATAAATTGTGGTTAGATTAGGTGATAAATGATTATTAATGTCATTATACAGTCGAATTATATTTCCCCATTATTATTATTTATTAATAATAGCTAGTTAATATGATAAATTAGTTTTGATTTGTATCTAAAACAACTATAACTTTCAATAAAAAATTCTTTAAACCTAAAACATTTTTTCTCTAACATTTTTTCTATATTCTATATACTTATAACTACTATATTAATATATTTTTTTCAAAGTAAAAAAGGGACTTGAGAATTTAGTTGAACCAGAATATTATGAACCACTTTGTATATTATGCAGCAAAGAAAGGCGTGATTTTTCAGTTTTGTTGTATGTTTAATTGTATTATTTATCAATATTATAGTATAGACTCTCTGTTTATTCTAATTAATTTAAGTAATTAACTGTTGTTTAAACGTTTCTGGTTCTGTCTCTAAAATCATTTACTAGTTATAAAATCTCTGTTTTTACTATTTTCGACCATATAACAACAATACTCTCCACAATACTGTCTCCACGTCCTAACCGTAATTATATATGTAGGTACAAAAAACCCGTAGTCCTTGAACTCAGTTGAATACGTTTTAAATTATTTCGATTTTGGTTTTTAATATTTCCGTTATGTAGGAGCCTACATTAAATTCTTCGTTAGAATCGTCGTATACTCATGTCTCCCCACCAATTGTTAATTTGATTTATGGAACCTTTTATGGTGTCCTTTTAAAAAATTATTCAAAATATTTACTATTAAATAATATTACTATTTAAGATCGTTATATGATTAAAATTATAGCTATTTTAAATATGTTTACCAGTACACCAAACATGTTCAATACGCTTATTATTTTAATCTGTTGCTCATCATGCACGAAAACAATTAATTTTGTTTTACAATCGACTAATATAATTTTAACAGCTTCTTTATTATTAGAATTGATTTGTTTTAATGAGTTGCAGTAGTTTAAATAGTGTACTAACAAAAATTAAATGAGTATATTTAAGATATGAACGAATCAAAAAATTTAATAATCAAATTTGAAAAAATACCAAATCACTTGTGTATAAAGCGTTCAAAGCAAATAAATTAAAAAAACCATAGTATTTTAAACATTCACAAAATAACAATAAACCCATCATCCTTTAAAAAATATATTTGTAAGTATATAATATTATATTACGAAAAACTTGATTAGGCCAAAAACGAACGCCCCTCCCTCATATCACCTTGTATTGTTTCTTATTATAAATTCATATTAATCTATTGCTATTGTAACAATATAAACTGCTAATCTATATGCAATTCAGTTTATGTTTATTATTGTAGATATAAACTAACCATAACGATTTATCATATAATATTATTATTTCAATATCAGTCTTTCGGAAGTTATCAAAATCATGATCGCCTTGGGTATCCTGATGACTTACGGGCTCCAGCTAACCGTCACTACAGATTTAGCGTGGCAAGGACTGCGTAGCAAGCTCGTTAGATCTAAGGGTGAAACTACTGACTGCAGAGATGTAACGGACGACGATGATTCTTCGCCAAGGTTAACAACGTACTACTATCTTATGAGATCCATCTTAATCGTCGGAACCAGTAAGCATAAATACGCATAAAATATACGCATTATGTATAATATGATAATCACTTGGCCAGAAAGAAATTCGTCGAAGTTAACGGGAACTGGATAAATTATATAATTATTTTTAGCTCTTAACTGAATTAACCAACTATTCATTTTAACGTTTAATACGAAAAAACCGTAATTAGATTTTAAAAAACTTTTTATTAACGTGTAACGACAACAATATAACAAAACTGTGGGAGACTGTAGCTTTAGGCCCATGCTAAACGTTTTATCTTGGGCCATTCAAAGTGTTGTAAGAATACACATTTATTTTTAACTCGTTAAGTAGATTGATATTGAAAAATGTGAAATTTTTAAAATTTAAAGTTAATTTTCTTTCTTTTTAACTTTTACAAGTTATATGTTTAATGAAAAAAAATTTTACTTAACTCAATTAAAAGTCAACTTTAAACATAAACTATTTATAACTCCTGTTAAGAAATAATAAATTAATTTAATATGAATATAATATAGATTTACAAATATAAAAATATACATAATTAAAATAATATAGATATATAGGTACATATAAAAGCGAGTCGCAAGTATTTAATATATTCTCAGGAAAAATAACAAAAAAGTAAGACTTCCAATCCAATAATAAACAAAAAAAAATATTAATCATTTAGATGCGTTTTTTAAACATACGTCTCTTTTCTTTTCAAATGTTATCACAGTTATAGTGGCCATGGCTATACCGGACATCGGGCCGCTCGTATCGCTCGTGGGCTCCATCGGGTTCTCGTTGCTGGGTCTGATCGTGCCCGTGATCATGGAAACCGTTTGGTACTGGTATGACGAAGACAACGATGACTTAGGACAGAACTGCTATGACGGGACAGCCACAACAGCGAATGGCGCCAAAAGTATGTTATCAGCCCGCGGAAACATTTGTCGCCGAATCGTGCGGCACGTGAAGAATATGATACTACTCGTGTTCGCTACAGTAGCGTTGGTCGGTGGTGCATTTTACAACATCCGTGACATCGTAAACAAGGCCTCTGAAGACGCAGTTTCTTACAGTGTTTAACAGAGGATCTCCTGCGGACGCTTCACTATTATATTTTACTTTTAGCTTTGTTTTTGTGTATAAATAATTATTATAAACGCTTTAATATTAAATAATTGATATAACCACAGATAGATAACAATATATGGTTACTAACATAGTAAAATGATTGAAATAGGACATCATATTATATTACATATGAAGAGTAAAACACGATTGGCCACGCAAATGTTTTCAATCTTCAGAAATCGATAACGGTTACTATTGTTGCTATGTATTATTCTGGCTTTACGCTGACAATAATATTAAAAAGTTTTGCTCGCCAAATTTTCTTAAAGCGTGTTTCTCTGATAACAGGAAGAATATTATCTAGTATTATTATATTATAATAATAAATATCTGTGGATATAACAATATTATTATATGAATAAATGTTTGTTACTGCTGTGCGTATCTTTTATTCCAATTGTACATAACTTGAACAGAGACAGAAAAAAACAGTGGTTTAAATGATGGATTCAATAAGGCTCAAAACTTAAATTTATTATCTATGAAGCACATTCTAGGAGTTTCGTCTCAAACTTTTTTACACCACAATATCTAGATATGTTATTTATTCATTCAATAAATATACTAATATGTAGACTGTACTTATAATATTGAAATCATACTGAAATGCACACAAAGCTTCAAATAAAAACTAAATATTCGTCGAAATCAAGCAACTCATACACAAACTATTTGGATTATGATAAATGTGTGCTGTTCTTGCATTCCGATTCTCGTGATCGAGCAAATCATTAATGATCTCCTTAATTGATTGTTAATACTTTCTCATTAATTTGAAAAATTCTTAATCACCTTAATAACCTTGCTCTTTTAAAGAGTAAAGAATTAATTTTAAAAAATTTAGAAAATTATTCCAAAATTATTATTAAATAAATACGATGTATTAAAAGAACATGTAAAATATTATTAAAACGAAAATATAAATACCTTTAATAACATGGCGTTATAATTAATTTATTGATAGAAAGTATTAAAATTTAAAAGTACTATATTAATAGTAATATAATATGTTCACTGTTATACTGTTCTGTACTTAAACGTCTTAAACATAATACTATTTGAAATATTTGAATGTTATATTTTGTATTTAAATGGTTATCAAAAGATATAGTTACATTTCATAATCAAGTTATTAAGATGTTCATGTCAATTTATTTTAGGTTAACATTTATCAAGGGGGGATGACTTTGCCAAATCACCCTATCTAAAATCTGCCACTAATCATCGCATTAAAATACCTAATAAATAAGAAAAATATATTAAAATATTTTATTACCTTAAAATAATTGGGTTTAGGTTTAGGACACCTTAACCTAGAAACACCATTAACGAATATTTTTATTTGAACACACTATGTATAATAGTTTTTAGTATATACATAAAGTAGGTATATTTTGTTATGGGTTTTAGGATTGAATTAATTATATATACATTATTATGTATTACCAGGTGTATAATACACTAACTATATGGTCTATAATATTATATAATATAGTATTCAATTTTTTTTTATCATCTTAAACCTAGTTTGCTAAAGATTCTAAAATAATACGTAATCGGGCAAACTGTAATTAAATTAATGATCTCATAATAAAACTGTTACTAGAAATCTAATCTTTACAGTTCATAGTTTATACTAATAATTTGATTATTTTTAAGAAAAATTTATAGTGTATAGGTTTACAAGAAATGATGAAAGCACCAGCGGAAATACAAGTCATGTAAATCACTATCACCTTTCTGTAGAAAATGATAATTCATAGCTATTAAAAAAAAAAAAAAGTTTAATAGAACCGAATGTTTTTTTTTTTTAATTTGTCATTTAACCGGTTTAATCATTAACATATACAACTACACTATAAAATACTTAGCTAGAATCTTTCTATAAGAAAACTTATTATAAACATATGCCTTACCTATTTACGATGTTATAAAAAATATAAGATTATAATACACGAATATCATCAGGGATTGCTAAAATGTAGATTTAAAATTTTCGATAGTAGTGTAAATAATTTTTGACATTACCATTTTAAAAATTATAAAAACTATTCGTTAAAAATAATTTGCAAAGCTTAAATTGTCTAAAAAAATATATATATATAAAATAAACTAAATTAATAATTTATATTTATCTTTTTTTTTATCACTTTTGTTTTACTTCTCTCATAATAAATATATTAATTAATTCAACCATCTAATATTTTATTAACATATTCAAAAATAATAGTTCATTGTTAAATTATTTAGAGTAGGTAATAGGTTGATCATATTCTAAATAATAATCAATAACTATAAATACTATATATAGCGAAACAAACTTAAAAATCTTTAAATGAATAAGCTAGATCTAATTTAAGTTTAATAAAATATTTTGTTTTTTTTTTATTTAGATGTAAATTAAATACCAATATATTTAACATAAATAGATAAATTGTAAAGCTTTTTAATTAAATTAATAACACAACTTATAGTTTCAATATTATTAAGTTAAAATAACATTTTCGAAAATAGAATCTAAAATTAGTCTTAAACGTATTTGAAAACAGATAAATATTCAATTCAAGATAAGTTGAACAAATATTATAATGTTATGAAATTATAAATTTTTTATGAAAAAACTTAATTGCTCGGTTGTGTGGGGTTAGGCAAAATATTCTCACAAGTTTCTACTTTTTTTTCGCATAACGATATTACACTATTTATTGATGTAATATGAAACTTCAATATATTTTTTATACGTGAAAGTAAAGATTACAAGTTGACAGTCGTATCTACAAAAACGTTTTCATGCTACATAATATTTTGGGAATTATCATAAAGATACGTCATGTCTCATGAACCAAAAGTTGACACAGAAATTCATTAATATTTATGTAAACACTAGGTACGGATTTAGATAGATCTAATTCGAATAGAATAGAATAGATAAAAGAAAAAAGGCAAATAAGTTAAGTAGAATAATATAATTGGATTATTTGTAATATTTGTATAAAATTATAAATTTAATAACAGGAATTTAAGAATATGATAAAAAAATTATGGTGTATCTAACGTGATTTTAATAAAGCATGAATGAAACAGATACTAAATAGTACACGATCAAAAATCTTGATTAAATAAAAAGTATAAGTTACTAAAATATATATTTATATTTTAGTACTGTGAAAATTAAAATTATATATTTCACGAATTCATGATTTTGTTGTTGTTTTACTCACCTACCTAATTAAAAAAAAAAAACTTATTAAGTGATTAATTAAAAAATAATATTTTTTCTTATCAAAAACGATAAATTCATGAAATAATCCAAATTAATTAAGTATTAATTATAAAATTACTGCTTTTAGAATAATAATTTTTTAATTTTTTTAATTTTCTGATCTTTCACATTTTTTATATCCGTTACAATGATCTTCTTAATGACAAGGTTCCCGCGCCTAGGTTATCGAAACTTAGCATTTATCATCAGTTAATATTATTTTAAAAATAAAAAATGTAGGTACATCACAATTTGTATATTCCGTTCAAAATATTTATCCGAAAGCGTTGGCTTATTACTATTTTTAATACCAAACTTAATGTTTACTATTTATGAGTAAATTAATGAAGTGTGCCATGATTAAGCACTTAGCAAGATACATTACCCTCTTTAAATTCACCCAAAAGATTAAATATTAAATATTTATATCAGTTATATCTAAGTGAGATGTAATATATCTATACAGTATTTTATAAATATTTACGAAACAATATCTTGTTCTTGAATATTAAATTACAAAATATAGTCTTTGGTTATAATGTATACCTAAATTAATTGTTTTTAACAAAACTAGAAAATTATTATTGTATCTGTATTAACCTCATACCGATAAATTATTCTTTTACACCTCAGGGAGCACAGAGTTAGAAGACGCTTCTGATTTTAGGTATGCTTTATGACAAAACTATAATATTTAAATTTACCTACATTTTCAATACTGGTTAATAATGCTTTGAATGAATAGATATTTTATACTATATCATATAATTATGTTTATTCATTTTATAGTTATTATATTCATCACTGTTGTATATTTGTCGTCACGTCTACAACTACGCAATACTAGATAGGAGTATAGGACTATATGTTAGTAACAAGTCTTTAAATAATAAAAAACAATAAATGTATACAAATAATAAAAATGTTTAATGAGTATTTAAAATTAAAAATTAAGGATTATTTTCATTAAGGCTTATAATAATTATTATTTCAGTATAAATATAATATAAAAATTTAATTGATTTTTGTTAGATATTGAAATCCAAAGTTGTCTGTATCTACAGTGTACTGCAAATATATTTTTTTAAGATTAATGAGTTCAAATTATATTTAAAAACATCACAACTAAATTTCAAAATTCATCTAGAATGCTAAAATTAATTTTCAATATTAAACACTTCAAAGAATTTTAGTGTATCAAGTATAATTTCAAAAAATGATTTCATAGAATAAGTATCATATAATTTGACTATAAAAATCCATCATACGAGTTATACTCCAAAGAAGAGTCGTTTCTAAACATATTTTGTTAGAGCTGATGCCTGGAAAAATAATAAAAATAATAATTACAACTTTTCGTTGTATTAAACAAGAATAATTACGTTATGAGCGTTTCATCGAACTCGTTTATTATATTTTACGATTTCGTAATAATATTTAATAAATTATTCAACGATAAACATAGGCCCTATTAATTAAGTTTACACGTAATTGATCGAACCATAACGGATTTTTTTATCTGATACATCCAGCATATAGGTTATCGTTCAGATTGGATGGACACAAATATTGAACACGTACACCGTGTGTTTGTTTTAGTTTTTTTTTATCATCAAAAGTAAAGGCAATAAGTTTTCTTTAATTCACTGATTTACCTTATGAAAATAAAACATAATATTCATCTGAACAGATTAATTAAACATATTGAACCGGATGTGTATAATCGATAAAAAGTCAATGCCCGATATAGTTATAATGAAAATATTATTATTAATTCTTGATCGAAAAACAAAACTCAAAGAAAACGCACAATGCTACAGCTATACGTATTATTATCATACAGTTTTAGTTCAACCAAACCTTAAGTTCGTATTATTACTAAATACTGATATAAATTATTTAAATTTAATTGGAGTTTTGTATAATTTAAATTATTTAATTAATATCTAATCATATGAACTTATTTAATTAAATTATTAGCTTCATCATGATAAAATACATATAGGTAACATTCATACGTCAATAACTGTAATAAAATATATTAAAAATAAATACTATATAAAATAATAAGTCTACTTGTAAGTTTTCTTATTTTAAATTAAAATAAAAAAGAAAATACTCTTGCTCGTATTCGTAACTGTTTTTTTTTTTAATACTGTTCAATATATATATATATATTCATTATATTATATTATATTATATTATTATTACATTAAAGTAAAAGCTTTTAAAAATGAATAAAAATATACATTTAAAGACTAATATTGAAACGATATTCAATTTATTTTTTCATAATCAATAAATTTATTGAGTTTTCTTATTAATAAAATTCAAATTAAAAAAAAAAAAACAAGACCAAAAACGGTGTCCCTGTATGGCTGTATGTCCTTGGAAAATTTTACTTCTACCACTTAAATGTTTTATTTTTATTCATCTGAAAATGAATGAAAAAAAATGTTAACAGAAATTGATTTCTAGTTTCTAATATGAACAATACTTTTTTCAAAACGATATTATAATATTTTTTAAAAGGACTCGCTCATAAGTTGTCTTAGTGTTATAAACAGTGACCTACACTTATAAAT